CCCTTTAAGAGAATGCATGGTTTCCTGCAGTTGGACAGATAGAATCTTTGGTGTTTTCATAACCAGATGTTGTGGAGAGTCTTCTTCCCAGCACTAGTGCTTCAGGCTGGGGATCCTGGTGTAGGGTTGGGACTCCTTGCTTTTGACGGGAGGACCTCTGTAGCTGAGATATCCCTCCCGATTATTGACCAGCACATGCAATTGTGGGTCCAGCCAGTTTCATATGTCCACCTCTTCTACCCATCTCTCTCTCTCTCTCCCTCTCTCTCTCTCTCTCTCTCTCTCTCTCTCTCTCTCTCTCTCTCATAATATTACATGGGACAGTCATTTGCATTGTTTTTCCTTTTAAAACATTGTTTTAGAGAGAGTAATGGAGAAGGATAGAGAGTTAGAAACATCGATGAGAAATACATCTATTAGCTGTCTCCCACATAGCCCCTACTGGGTATCGAGCCTGCAACCTGTGCATGTGCCTCATGTGCCCTGACGGGGAATCAAACTGGTGACCTACTGATTCATGGGTTGGCCCTCAACCACTGACCCACACTGGCCAGGCTCTCCTAGCAGCCTCTACTTGGCTTCATTATATCCTTGGTGATAGGACTTCTGTTCATTTCATCTTCAGATGGTTCTCCAGGTGGATCGTTCTATAATTTGGTGTTAATTTTGAAGTGGTAATGGGAGGAGGCTTGCACAGTGTTTACCTACTCTACTATCCTGACTGGAACTGCTTATTTACAATTTTGATTTATCTTTGTGCTTTGTGGTAGACAGAATTCTGTGGTGGACTCCAAGATCTCAGTCCCTGTTGTATATGCACCTGGTGTATGATTTCCCTCCTCTTGGGTATGAGTAGGGCTGAGAAATAGGATGGTGTCACTCTTGTTATTAGGTTACATTATATAATAAGAATTTTGAAAATGTAATTAAGGTCCCTAATTAGTTGACTTTGAGTCAATTGATTGGCTCTGACTTAACCAAACAGGTTCCTTAAAGAGAGTTTAGAAGTCAGAGAATTGAAGCCTCAGAGATTCTTCTGATGACCTTAAAAAAACAACTTGCTATGAGTTCCACAGATGCAAGGAAGCTAATCCCAGCAACAACTGCATGATTTCAGAAGACTTCAAGCCTCAGATCAGACCTAAGACTTACTGACACCTTGATTTCAGCCTTGAGACTTGAGCAGAGGTCCCAGCTAAGCTGTTACCAGATTCCTGCCCCCAAGAACATAAATTTGAATTTTTTAAAGGCACTCAACTTGTAGTAATTTATTATGCAACAATAGACAACTAATACATACATTTCCACTCATGTCTATTTCAGTTTTACCTTTTATTTATTGTATATGTAGCTCTTTAAATTTTTGTGATTTAATTAAAATAGAATGGATTAAGGAATACATTAACTAGTATGATGGGGCCTTTTACATTCACCCCAGAGTGAATTCCCTCCATGGCATACTTCAGCCTCCTCCCTCTGTGCTTTGGCTTATGCCCTCACCTCTATTTGAAATTCCTTAAGCCTCATCTCTACCTATCAAAATTCCATCTCAACTTAGAGGCCCAGCTTGAGTTTCACATTCTCCATAATTCCTGCAAAGTGAGTTTGGAGTTATTCCCCCACCCTCATTTCTAAATCTCTACAGCTATGCTTCCCAGGATGAGGGCTGACATCATCACAGTCCCCTCAGGGAGATTTTTTAAAAAATGCAGTTTCCCATCATTCCCTCCTCTCTGCGACCCCAGGAATTCTGGTTCCTTATTGAATGTTTGAAAACCTTTTCAGGCCACATCACTGGAAAGCTCGGTTTGGCAACAGTTATCCTCTCATTCTTACGCAGGTCAGCTCTGTGCAGAGTGTCCTGTGCAATTTACAGCTTGTGCTTAAGGCTCTCAAAACTTGAACCCAAGGTTGTAGAACATCTCTTGCCTAGACAGCACATTGTACATTTCTTTATTTAATTTTAAACCTGATTTTATTGTTTTCCTACTTGTATTTTCCCTTTGGCTTTACTCCCTCAATTATTTTATTTTGTTTTTGTGTATATTTTTGTAAGTAATCACAAATCCTTGGGGGAAATGCAGTTGGAAATAAATAATCAGAAAACCAACACACTCTTCCCTAATCCTTTAATGTACATGAATCTCGTTTCCCTGGCAACAGTAAAACTTTCTAAACCATGGACTCTGGCTTACACCTTTCTTATGTCCTCATCGTAGCTTATACAATTTGAGCGTACAGGAACAGTGTTCAGCAAACTAAAGAATGATGGTCAAAAGGATAAGAAAGGTTCTGGCTTTGTGCACTGTTCCTTCCTGTCCTTCCCCTTCCTTATCTCCTTCCTGTGCCCCCTTTCCTATCTTTTGAAGCATTGAACAAAGAATTGCTTTTTTTTTTTTTCTAGACTCAAGTATTAGAGGCTAGTACAATGCATAGATCAGGTTATAGAATGAATAAGAGGCCCTTTGTGTCTTTCAAAGTGTTTCTTCTTTTGAAATGGCTTTTGACTGAGGTGTATTTTTTTTTTTTAACCTCCTGGTTCTGTGAGCAGACACATTCTAGATGAGGGGCTGAAAGGGTCCCCTCAATCATCAGGCACTACCCTTTTCCCTTCCAAAGCCCCAGTGAATGTGCTGTTCAGGATGGCAGCCATGCCCTTATGCCAGAGCACACACCTGGGATATCACTTGAAATGTTCCAGTGCGAGCCTCGCTCAGTAGGTGGAGTGGGGCAGAGGTTTAGCATGCAGAGATGAATAGTTTTCCAGGGAAGTTCGACCGAGGCAGTCATTATGGAAAATCTGATAAATTGTACTCCTATAACTATTATTTTTAAGCCTGTTCTAGTGTTTTGAAAATTTCTAATCTCTTGGGCAATGATGAGTCCCCTGACTCATTCTACTTGTCCTTTCTGCAAGTTAGGTTTTACTTAGATTCTTTCCAGTGGGGTACTCTTTTCTTGCCCATTGGTTTTATTTTGAGTGTATTAAGCTGTATCTAAAGATCCAGGTGAGCATGGTAAGATGTGCTGTCTGTGTGCATGCATGCACACATATGCAGGTTGTGTACTGTGTGTGAGTCCATGCATATGAGTTTCAGGGTTTCTGTTTCTATCATTTCAGTTTGATAAAAATATTATTTTTATCCACTCTTAGATTTACAAATCAACTAATTGAACTTAGAAATCACTGTATTCAACCAAAATAATCCCAAGGAATTTTAGCTAGTGGGATTCATCTTCTTAACAGAAATTAGAATTATTTTCTGCTTGATTGAGAGGTTTTTGTGCCATCTTCTCCAATATTATTGGGGTTACACTTACACTATTACACATATTTAAAAAACGTAAGTATTTGATCCATTGAAATCTTCCTCTTCCCACCCTATGACCTAACACTGTGTTTTTATAAGGCTATACAGACTCATATATGACTTCAAAATGTTTCAGGTTTGTTTCTTAGTTGTGGTGGGTGCACACTTAGTGAATGTTGATGGGAGCATTTCACAATGTAGATTCTGAGAGCTGGCATCTAGCAGGTGCCTGTGTCAGTGAGGGGAGCCCTGAAGCCATTGGACTTGGTGGCTGCCCTTGTGAGACATGCGGCCCGTCTAATGCTACACCATGATGCTGGTCAAGTGCAACAGGAAAGTGTGTTTAGAGCTCGTTTGTACCTCACAACTTCCATCACTGCCTCCTGTTCTGCTTTGGCCTCCAGCTTATCCAGTCTGTGCTGACATGGACGGAGGGAAGTGGAGAACTCAGCTTCCTTGATAAAGCAGCTCTGGGTGCAGACCCCCACCCAGAGAACCATCTTTCAGATTTGGCATTTCAACTGGGCCATTTCTGCATCTCCTGCAGCACTGACTTCAGAGGATTTGCCAAGAAAAGCTGAAGCAAAAAGTTTAATATTATGTAACAGATATTGAAGGAAATTGAATGAAAAAAGTTGATTGTAGCCTTAAATTCGCCACATCAGTTGCCTTTGACATTTGGTTCAAAGCCCCTCTATTTCCTGTTGGGTGGGCTCTTTCCTAAGACCTGATCAGGACTTTGCATGAGCCCTTGTTGGCCAAGGACCATAGGAGTTCTGTCTTTCTGTGTGTTCTTCATTAAATGTTCCAAACGATTGAGAAGTACCTTTAAGGTGAGGGTGTGATTAGAAGGAATAGTGGGTGCAGGAAGTTTAGTGTTAATGGCATAGAGCCATGGTAGGCAAACTGCTAGCGAACCACTCGTGGCTCTTTGGCCCCTTGAGTGTAGCTCTTCCACAAAATACCACAGCCTGGGCGAGTCTATTTTGAAGAAATGGCATTAGAAGAAGTTTAAGTTTAAAAAATTTGGTTCTCAAAAGAAATTTTAATCTTTGTACTGTTGATATTTGGCTCTGTTGACTAATGATTTTGCCGACCACTGATCTAGAAGATGTATCTGGGAGTTGCAATTTTCAGAGGTTAAGCCTATTGAAGAGCTGACAAGAACATAACAAATGGACTGTAAACGTAGTGATGGCATGAAAGTCACAGTGTGAGGATGTCCCCGGGGATGTTGTGTAGGTTATCTTTGCCTTGGTCACAGCCATGCCCAGGCAGGAAAGAGGAAAGGAGAGGGGAGCTAGTTGCCTGGAGACAGCCGTGAACTCCATGGCAAACCTGGGTGTGTGGATGGAAGGGAAGTGGTGGAGAAGAGGGAACAACATGTCTTGATGTCATCACTTTCCTGAGACAAATGATCATGAATATTCACAAAATTAAGCAACCATAACAAAACCTTAGAAACCACCTACCTGTCTACAATGAATGCCTAAGGCACATTATGGAACATCCAGTCAATGAGCTGTGCAGTCCTCAAAATTGTTACTGTGGAAGAACACTCCGTGGCATTAAATTAGACCCAACCGCATTGCTGTAGGTGGGGAATTATGTAGCAAGTATTCCTATTTTTGTATGTATGTTGTTGTAGACATTTGTCATGGCTGTGACTTCTTGTCATCTTATGAACAGCTTTTCTATATTTGGGGACATTCCTACATTATGACCACCTCCTCCCAACATTGAAGCTGGGACTCAAATTTCCAGCCTCCCTTGCAACTGGGATGCACACATATGACTTGAGGCCCACCAACCAGACGTACTGTGAGAGAACTCATTCCTGAAGTGAGTAAAGAGTGCAAGCAATCCCGTGCGCAGCTTTCCATTGTGTGGACGCGTGAGGGCAGGGGTATTGAGCTCTTAGAGCTGCAGGGGAGAAGTTGGGTTTCGGAGGCAATTGTTGCCTCATCAGCTCAATTTTGCAGTGGAGTTTGGGGGATTGTTTCCAGCAGCGTAACCCAGCCTTATTTCCAGTCTTTCCAATCATTCTGTGAGCCATCCATTACTTTTTAAAAATAATTTCCTTGACTTCAGCATTAGGTACAACACAATGTTGACACTAGTTTTGGGATTTGCTCTTTTTTTCTTGTATTTTTTTTTTTTCTTTAACAAATATTCATTCAAAAGAAAATTGTCATCTATTTGTTGAGTACTAAGGTACTGCAGGTAAAATTACTTATGATGCTTTCTTTATTGCTCGTTCACATATTATATAGATAGTCAAGACTCTATATAAAAAGTATATATCTTTTTAATAAAAGTAATATACTAAAATAAAACAAATTATAAAAACCATAAACTTTACTTTCTATACATCCTTCAATAATTTCTTAGTGATTGTCTTGGTGAGGTAAACATTTGTTTAAAGTCTAAAGATGTTTTTATTTTGCTGTCATTTGTTCAGTTATTTTTTAGCTCAATTTGGAATTCTAGGTTCATAGTTATTTACCCTCGAGTGTGAAATCTCTTGTCTTGTGCTCAGGCATTTCATTTTCTGCTGCAATCTTGCTGTCTCAGAGGCTTTCATTTGTGTGTCACAGTTTTAGGACTTTCTCCTTTTGTACCACTGTGTCTCATTTTCCATTTCTCTTTAGCTTGATGTTTCTATAGTTTTAACATTATTTGTGTTGTGAATTTATTTTTATTTATACTGTACTTTCCATCATAAAACAAACACTCAGTTTTGAAAATTATTTAACCATTATCTCTTAGGATAGTTCTTCGCTGTTCTATCTTTTTCTCTTTTTGGAATTTCTTAGACACATTTTAGCGTCTGTTAGTTGATATTTCTAACATTTGTTCTGTGCTTTATTCTAGGTGAATCCATTAGACAAGTTGTTTAATACCACTAATTCCTTATGATTGGTTTATCTAGACTTTATCTTGGTCATGGCTTTTTATTTCAGATGATGATTTTCTTTTCTAGATTTATAATAGTTCCTTCTTCAGACCCAATTTTTATGTTTCTTATTTCCTATGTTTGTACCACCATTTCTAATTTTTTATGAATGCTATTCCATTTTTGTTTTAACTTTTATTCATAATCATCCCCCTCAGTTTTGTTGAGGTATATTTGACAAATTGAAGAACGGTATATCTTCAAGGTGTAACAGTATAATGTTTTGATCTACATATACATTGTGTGATTAGTACCGCAATCAAGCTAATTAACAAATAAATACATCGCTTCCTATAGTTACATTTTCTTGTGTGTGGTGAGAATACTTAAGATAAACTCGCTTAACAAACTTCAAGTACACACAGTACTGACTGTGGTCACCATGTGTCCGGTAGAACTCCAAAGTGTGTTCATCTTCTAACCAAACCTTCCTACCCTCTGCCCCTGTGTCCCTCCCCTCCCAGTACCCGGATGTCACCCTTCCACTTTCTGCTTCTGTGAGTTTGATGTTTCTAGATTCTACATCTAAATGAAATTATGCAATATTTGTCTTCCTATGTCTGGCTTATTTCACTTAGCTTAACCTTTTCTCCAGGTTTGTGCCTGTTGTTGCAACTGGAGAAATTTTCTTATTTAAGGCTTAATAATATTTCTGTGTGTGTGTGTGTGTGTGTGTGTGTGTGTACATACAAACACATGGAATTTCTTGTTATCAATTCATTCATCAACATAACACTTAAGTTGTTTTTATGAATTGGCCATTGTGAATAATGCTGCAGTGAACATGGAAATGCAGATATTTTGAGATACTGATCTTTTTTTATTTGCACATATACCCAGAAGTAGAATTGCTAGATCATATCATTCATTTGAAAAATTTTTATTCCTAATAATCTTCACCTGAGGATATGTTTTTATTAATTTTAGAGAGAGAGGAAAAGAGAGAGGGGAAAGGAGAGAGAGAGAGAGAGAGAGAGAGAGAGAGAGAGAGAGAGAGAGAAAGAGAGAGAGAGAGAGAGAGATGTTAGAGAGAAACATGGATTGGTTGCTTCCTGTATGTGCCCCTATTGGAACCTCCATACTGTTTCCTGATGGCTGTGCTAATTTATATGCCCACCAACAGGGCACAGAGATGGTCTTTCTCCACATCCTTGCTAACACTTTTGTTGTTTTGCTAATGGCTATTCTAACAGGTGTGAGGTGATACCTCCTTGTGGGTTTGATTTGCATTTCCTTTCTGGTATCTATTGGCCATGTGTGTATCTTCTTTTGATGTTAGTTTTTTGGTCATTTCATTGTTTGTATTTCTTTGGCAGTGAATTCTCTTCATTTTTCAATTTTGGCTCTCTTTTTAGAATTATTTTTCATGTGCTTTAAACTTTCCATTTATCTTGCATGACGATTTTTCCCCTTTCTGTACACTCCCCTCCATCGAGGATTTGTGGATGCCTCCAGCAAGCTTAGCAGACTCCAGTCAGGTGACTTGATACATCTGTCGCGAAATATAAAACTGGCACATCTCCAATGAAGCTGAGCTAGCCAGGGCCTTGGTCAGGTTCTGTCTTTAAGACTGTCTTTCCTTCTATCAAGTCCATCAGCATCCTACATATAGAAAACTGTAGCCTTGGGCGACCATTCATTTTCACCAGCCTCTTCAAGATTGAGGGACCCTTTTTCCTGACTGTGTTTTCAGGAAGAGAGCCTGCTGTCTTTTGTCCTCAAACACTCATGAAAGCTTTTAATGCTTAATACATATTAGGTTTCAAATTCTTTCCCAATTTGTGTGACTCTAAAACCAGGACCTAGTGTGCTAAGGACCTCAGTACCCTCTTTCTTCTCTGAGCTCTGTTTCTGGTTCCCAGAGATGTTTATCTTATTTATACAGCCCAGGGAATTTACCTGTGACAGTTAATATATTTTTCTCAACTATTATTTAAGAGGAAGTTCTTACTTTGACATCTATTTATCCATGAATGGGCAGATTAATCATGGTCTTTAAAACTGCACAAAAAAAGTAGGTATGTTAAATGTTTGTATTTTTCCAAAGTGTTGGGAATTTCACTTCTGCTCCACAAAGTTTCCAAGATCCATGACCAAATGTGACTCTTTCCATTTGAATACATGCTATATTTGCCAGGAAAAAACAAAACAAAATATAGTAGTGAGAATTTATTTTATTTTTCCTCCAAAACATATAACTATATTTTATGCCATCAGCAACATTAGCATAATTTGAAAAGGCAATGGTACAGTGGCAGCGTTAGAACAATTTGAGTGAAGTCCCCCTAAAATAGAGTTGAAATTCAGATTCCTGATACAATAATTTTTTTCGTCTTGCAGTCAAAGGAAATGCTGCCTTCAATGCAAATTGTTGATGAAAGCAACAGGCTGGAAGTGATTTATTTATGTTTTATTCTTTTAACTTTTTCTGAGGTCATGGGAGTTCAATGCCTTGTACTTGTTAGGTAGGGGTTAGTGTATTTTCTACAAATGTGGGCTGCTAAGACAGTGTCAGCTTTGTGCATCCCGTGAATGTTCAGTGAGTGCTAGGGAAAGATGAAGGGAGTCTGTGTAGTTTAAGTGATTTAATTGGCAAGGTTGGGCATCCAGCTTAACTTCAAATTCAAATATACAGTATACAAGTCATATGTGTCTTTTCCTGACTTAATGAAAGTAAAATTTTAAAATAAAACAAAAATATATTGCTCAGGACTAAAATAGAACATAATGCAAATATAGATGTAGTATTATAGAATGTTACACTTGAAACCTATATAATTTTATTAATATATTCCCAATAAATTCAATAAAAATTAAAGAAATAAATAGAAAAATAACTAAGAAAATGGGTGCATGATTTAAAGTAAATCACACAAAAAAGTTAGAATGAATGGTGTGACTTCATTTTTCATCTTGAGCTTAAAAGATATACAATGCAGTGAACCATCCAAAACTGTAAATAAGAAAATACTCTCATTAATAATAACAACCCAGAGAATAACACCCAGGAATAAATTTATCAAATAAAGTGCAAGGCTTGTACACCACAAACTAGAAAACATTGTTCTTCGATATTAAATAACATGTAAGTATATAGGAAGATAGCCCCCTTTTATGAGTCAGAAGACTTGCATTATTAGGATAGCAGTACTCACCAAACTGATCTGTAAACTAAATGCAATACTAAAAAAAAATCCCACCTTGCTTTTGTCAAAATTACGTTTTTCATAAAATTCACAAGAAAATGAAAGGTATTTTAGTTTGGAAAATAGCCAAAACCATTTTGAAAATGAAGAGTAAAATAAGACTCTCAATTTCTAAATCTACTAACAGCTATTGTAATCAATAACCAATAAGGCTATATAAAAACATCAAATTAATAAAATTGAGAGTAAAGAACTAAACTATCACACTATGATCAATTGATTTTTGACAAGGGAGTCAAGACAAGTCTGTAGGGAGAACAATCATTTTAATTACTGGATACCATGTGTAAAATGGGATGGATATGAAGCCCTACTTCATATGTGTTAACTAAAATGAATCATAGACTTGAGTGAAAGAGCTAAAAATTATAACACTCCTATGATAGGAATAAATCTACTTTTTACTTTGGAATAGTCAGTGTTTTCTTAGATGTGACATCACAAGCATGATCTGTAGCACCAACAAAAATCAATAACTTGGACTTCAGTAAGATAAAATAAAAATATTTCTACATGAAAGGACACTATAAAGAAATTGAAAATAAAACCCACAGAATGGGAAAAATATTTGCAAATAGTTCATCTGGCAAGAGACTGGAATATATAAAGAACTCTTACAACTGTACAATGAAAAGACAAATTACATTTCCCCTCCCCAAATGGGCAAAAATATAAATACC